CTGCCTCCATTATTCTACAGGGCCCATTCCATCCCAGCCTCTGTTCTAATGCCATGATGTCTCCCTGACTTCTGAACTGGTGACTGCTCTCTACTAACTGTCGTACAGCAGCACACAGGCTGGTTTCATTCAAAGCTGTTATCTCCTGCTATAAGATTGCCGGCACACTGGCCTTAACACACACAGATCTGAAAATCAACAAGAGGGGTAGAAGAACATGGCTTTGAAAATTAAAGACTTCATCCCTGTGACCGTTTCCTCCCTACCCCCAAAACACGTCACCCAAAGTTATGCACATACACCTATTACTTTGGGTAATGCCTGCACTATTTTTTCCTTTATTAAAGCAAATGAAAACTTGTTTTATGCTTGACTGAGCTGTTCTCAGAGCATTCTGATGAAGGCTGTCATTGCTGGGGGCTCATCCGGCTCAATGCCATCGTGATTTAGGCGCCACTTGGAAATCTGCTAGAGCTGAATGCCGTGGCTCGGCAGAGCCACCATCCTGGAAGGCTAAGGACAGTTCCTTAACCGTTTCCTACTTTCCAGAACACCACAGTTACTTTGGTGCACTATGCATAAACAGAAGGTGCTGTGGGAAATGCAAACTAGCAGAACCATCCACAATTTTTCTTAATTTCGTTTGAAATAGATAAGATGCTCAAGTTTCTGAGCCCCAGCCCACAGCTACTTCTCCCCCAGGTACTCACAATGGCGCACCCAGCAAACTATTTTGGACACTCCATAGTTTGTGACAAAACTTACCTGTTAACAACAAATCATGGTAATTATAGACCGAAGGTTAAATTGCTGCAATACCTGCAACCAACAGCAAAAACCAATTTGTGTTTTAAAACATGTTTAAAACATGTTAAGTTGTAGGGCACCTGGGTGGCTCAGTTGGTTGAGCGGCTGCCTTCGGCTCAGGTCATGAGCGGCCTTCGGCTCCTGGGACCGAGCCCCGCGTTGGGCTCCCTGCTCAGCAGAAAGCCTGCTTCTCCCTCTCCTGCCTGCCGCTCTGTCTACTTGTGCTGTCAAGTAAATAAATAAAATCTTTCAAAACAAAACAAAACATGTAAGTTGTGTCTTCTCATCAACCAAAGAAATAGCTTTCTTAGTTTTGTGACTCAAGATTTTGATTTTGGAAGTTACTAGGGCGCCTGGGTGGCTCAGTGGGTTAGGCAGCTGCCTTCCGCTCAGGTCATGATCCCAGGTCCTGGGTTCGAGCCCTGCGTCGGGCTTTCTGCTCAGCAGGGAGCCTGCTTCCTCCTCTCTCTCTGCCTGCCTCTCTGCCTACTTGTGATTTCTCTCTGTCAAATAAATAAATAAAATCTTAAAAAAAAATTTTTAATACACAGTAAAAGCCAATATGCTTTGTAGAGTGCACACCCCACTCTGTTTGGTGTTTTGTTTGGTTTTTTAACTCACTAATAATCAACAGTTTTTCCATAGATCTAGCACTGAGTAAAGTTAAACTGTTAACGCCAAATTGCACTTTGGCAGAATCAAACTGATTAACAAATTGATTTACCAAAGTAAATCAACTTGGTGATGTTTCGTATTTTACCAAAGGACTCTTAAGTATTTGAAAAGAATCATGCTGTTTTAAGAAACCAAGGGAAAGATGCAAGAATTTTTTTTATCATTTTCATACTCAGAAAAAACTTCAAGTCTAATTCTTCAAGGCTTATGAGAATGGTTTTGACTTCATTATTAGATGCTAAGCAATTCATAATCAACATTTATTCATTTTTGTAACCATGCCCCCATCACCTTACGGAGTAAGCAAGCAAATACTTATTCCATGAGTCCATTTCTTGGAGACCTGCGAAATGGTACACAGTATCTATTAGAGACAGGAAATGGATGCAAAGGATTTTAGGAATTTTTAAAATGTATATGATACAGTGATAAAGCTGAAACGAACAGTCTGACCTTAAATCTCACAAACACATCTCCGTCCCCCATCAATTTAAGAACTGAAATACATGACGGATCTTGAGAACAGTATACTGACATCTTTTTCTCTGAAAATGGCCCAAGGTTAAATTCAGGATCGCTCTGCCTAAACCCACAATTTTTTCATCCTGTAAGTAAATCCACTTATTAAACCAGACTCATGTTCTTTGGACAGCATATTAATTCACTTTTAAAATGGGAACAGGAATGTTAATCTACAAGAACATCCAATTTTCCTAAAGAGAAGTTACAGGACATTATGAGCTTATGCAAAACCGATAAGAGCCCATTAATGGTATAACTGGATGAGAATGTTGCCCATCTAACTCCTAGAGACTAATTTTAGATCAGTATTTTAAGATTTTATTTATTTGACACAGGGAGACAGAGAGAGAGAGAGAGAGGGAACACAAGCAGGGGGAGTGGGAGAGGGAGAAGCAGCCTCCCCCGAGCAGAGGGCCCGATGCGGGGCTTGCTCCCAGGAGCCTGGGATCATGACCTGAGTCGAAGGCAGATGCCCAATGACTGAGTCACCCAGAAGCCCTGATTTTTAGATCAGAATTGTCTCCACTCTCATGGATAAAATGACACCAAGTTAACAGGCAATAGATGAAGTGGTAGCTACTTAAAAAAAATCTTTTATTAGAAGATTAATTTTATCAAAAGAAATGGGAATCTTTGATGGCTACTCTGATATCAAAGATGTTTCATTCATCTGTTGGGACATTTCATCTGTCTGGACAGCCCAGCAAAATTCAATCTGAAATATGAATTATCCCTTTGCTTAGTGTAAGATTCTTATTATTTGTTAAGAAAAAGAAAAGAGACGGGGCGCCTGGGTGGCTCAGTGGATTAAAGCCTCTGGCTTCGGCTCAGGTCATGATCCCAGGGTTCTGGGATCAAACCCGGCATCAGGCCCTCTGCTCAGCGGGGAGGCTGCTTCCTCCTCTCTCTCTCTGCCTGCCTCTCTGCCTACTTGGGATCTCTGTCTGTCAAATGTCTATCAAATCTTAAAAAAAAAAAAAGAAAAGAAAAGAAACAGAAAAGAGGATATTTTTCTAAAAGGGACAGTTTAGTACCAAAGAAAAATAAACACGAATAAAAAGGATGTCAATTTACTGCTCTCAGTGCTAAAGTACTGCTAAATACGTCAGAGTCTCTACGTGCAGATCACGGCATTAGTCCGGAGCTTCCAGAGTCAATGCAATTGCACGTACATACACAACACAGAATGCTTCCCTTTGAAAGTAAAAAAATATAACGACTTCTTAAACAGCTCTTCAGTAATCCCTGTTTCAGAGAACACAACCAAAAAACCCTTCAGGAGTAATTTACTCAGTTTGTTGGTCATTTCCTTCCTCCCAGTACTTGGTCATACCTCTAACTTAGAGAAGGCAAAAGAGATTCAAAACAATTTGGGTGCTTCCAGGAAGATCCTGGGGAAAGGTGAAGTTGAGGAATGGAAAGTAATGTCTCCAGTAACATTTCTGTGAAATTGGGGATTTCACTCCTGTGTCCAATCTCTATTTGACAGGAAAGGAAAAACGAGAGCTTACTCCAGAACAGGAAAACAAAACAAAAACAAGCCTTCTATAACTGGGTCATTAGTTAAAAAAAAAAGTACAGGCTGATGAATACTACCATATAAATTAGTCAAACATTTTATTATAGAGTATATATTTTTATCAAAAGCACAAAAAGTTTTATTCTGAAAACCAGGAAAATTGTGATGTTACAGAAGTATGATTCAGTAATTCCAGTCCATTTCTATGGGTATCACGTGCCGTATCACCTCAGTGAACACAAGGTGCAAATGAGGCCACGGTCATAGGTCTGATCACCATATGGGTCCCTTAGCATTATTTGGTTTCTCAAATTGAGACATGTATTCCCAATCCCAGTGAGCTGTCTTCCAAATGTGTGCTGCTACTCTCAATGGGACTGAGCCAAAGACTATACCAAAGCCCATGTTCCCCTAAGTCAGAAGATGAACCCTCAGTAATAAGGATAATAGCATAATTAGCACAGTCATCTAACTCCAAATGAAACCGCAAACACCCTGGCACATCTGAAATGAATTCTATGGGAAGTAGTAAAGCTCAGAAGCATTCTATGGTAACTGATCTAATGACAGAAATGACAAATGTAGTAAAAGCCATCATTACTGAAAACGATCACCAAATTCTTAGAAGTAAGGAGTTGGCAGCTCGAGGCAGTTGGGTCTTCCAAGATTTCTCCTGCCTTTTAAAAATGTCCTTGGGCTACATCAGAATGAAACAACCACGATTTTAAAAATCAGATTATGCTTTCTATTTTTTCTTACAGGCCATTAGTATTCTTTTTAAAACTTGTTCCCTGAGAAATCCCAGACTATGTCAAGTAAAGAAAATAAGAGTGAGCTCGAACTTGATCTTATTAAAAAAAATCTGTATTAGCTTTATCACTTTTTATATTACTATAACCCTTAATATTAAAAAGTCAACAGAGTAAAATTAACTTCTAAGTAATACAGTTTTGAGAATACACAGGGGATAAAGTCAGTATCCATATAAAAATGATATTATAGTCAAGGATTTAACTGAAGGTGTCGAAAATACAAATGTAGTATTATTTTAAAGGGAAAAGACTTTGTTTTAATTTTTACCACCCAGCTTATTTAGTAAAGTAGATTATCAACTACTGATTTATTGCTTTTACTATGATGCAACACCAGACCTGACAGCGAAATTTGCAGGAGGATACAAGAACATTTTTATCTTTAATCATTTTTGTAGAGTAGGACATGTACATATCCACATAAAAAGAGACTGTAGCAGATGCCTCCTAGAATCAACCAGTTCTTGTAAACATTGCATTTGTGCAGATTTTCATACTTTGATTCCAAAACTGAGAATAATAAGATTAAAGGCAAATTTAGTAGCCAAAAAAAAAAAAAAAAAAAAAAAAAAAATTTAAAACAAAAAAAAAAAAAAAAAAAAAGAGTCCAGTTTGACTTCCTGCAACATGTGGGACCACTCCTCTCTTCCCAAAACAAACAAACAAACAAACAAACAAAAAACCTAGCAGCACATAAAAAAATTTTACAAAACGTTTCAGTACTCTTTTTTCCCCTCCCATCAAAACCAAACAAAAATAAAGTGCAGCACCCATGAAAGTGTCAAGAAAATAGCCAAGTTCTTCCTTTCTTGTAACAAAATAGCACTTGGCCTCAGCAGTCTTAACCAAATCACACAGTGTCCATCATTTTGGATTCATCATCTTCTTTATGTACCACTGAGTTTAAACTGCAGAGAGCTGTATTGACAGAATACTGAAGATAATCTGGATTCTGGAAAGAAAAAAAAAGAATATAAGGAAGAAGCAATGGATAATAGTTTTATGCCACTGTACACAATTACATACTCAGTTTCACACGGTCTCTGTCTCAGCAGTATGGCAAAAGTAAAGTAGGAGGGAAAGAAAATGGACCCCGAAGACAAACTTGGGTTGAAACCCAAGTATAAAGAAAACAGACTGGACCACTTGATCAAAGAGGATGTGACAATAACAGAAAGATATATGTAAAAAATGAAACTGGGATAAACACTTTTTCTTCCTTTTAACAAAGCTTGCAATTTAAATTATTTAATCATATAAGGGTACAACTTCCATATAATTATATGTACAAAGCAACTGACAATTTAAAAGATAAATATGGCTTTAAGGTGGCAATGCATTTTAAAAATTACTATCTAATTACCACAGTAAATATAAAAATGCAAAACACTTGAAAAATAAGGAAAAAAATGCATTTACCAAGTAAAAATTACAGCTACCTTCAGAGTCTATTTTGGTTTTTCAAAGGTTAAAAACAAACTCAAGTGAGAAATTAATCTTTTGAGAGGTACTCAGATCCATTATTTTAAAAACTGAGACTAAAAGAACATTTTAATTTGGATTTTCTTTATTTTTTAAACTCATAAATACCTTATCTGTATTTCTAAAGCTAGGAATAAAACTATTATTTACTAAAGCACCATGACCAGGGACATAAGCCCTTAATACCCAGGACCTTCAATTTTATCTATTCAATTATTCCGAATATCTGCTAGCTACTCAGTTTTACCACCATTATCACCTGGTTTCATTTGTTTATTGTATTTAATGAATACCAATGAGGAAAACAGTCCAAACGGGATAGATGTTTTAAACTTTCCCATCGCAAAGGGAGGCACGGTTTTCAAAAGATTCTCTTTTAATCAAGTATAATACATTGTGATTCCATTATTTGTAAAAGTCCAGAAGCTAACAAGAAGCCAGATTATTTCCCATCAAGTCCTGATGAAGGCAGTGGTCCCAATAACTGAGGTAGAGAATACTACAGCAATGCTGGACCTCAGCTCTTACTTTTTTTTTTTTTTTTTTAAAGATTCTATTTATTTATTTAAAAGAGAGAGATCACAAACAGGCAGAGAGGCAGGGAGAAGCAGGCTCCCTGCTGAGCAGAGAACGTGATGCAGGGCTTGATCCCAGGACCCTGAGATCATGACCTGAGCCGAAGGCAGAGGCCTAACCCACTGAGCCACCCAGGCGCCCCGGACCTCAGTTCTAACCCTACCTCTACCATCAATGTATGTAGTCCCTACAGAGAAAACTACTCAAGATTTTTTTCTTTAAAGATTTTTTTAAAAAATTTACTGGACAGAGAGAGAGAGATCACAAGTAGGCAGAGAGGCATGCAGAGAGAGAGAGGGAAGAAGGCTCCCCACTGAGCAGAGAGCCCGAAGCAGGGCTCGATCCCAGGATACTGAGACCATGACCTGAGTTGAAGGCAGTGGCTTAACCCACTGAGCCACCCAAGCGCCCCAAGATTTTTTTTTAATGATTTTATTTATTTATTTGACAGAGACAAAGAGAGCAGGAACACAGGCTGGGGGGCGCAGAGGGAGGGGAGAGGGAGAAGCAGGCTTCTGGCTGAGCAGGAAGGGACTGGATCCCAGGACTCCAGGGTCATGACCTGAGCTGAAGGCAGCTGCTTAACAACTGAGCCACCTAGGTGCCCCTCCTCATCACAATTTAATAAAATTGAAAGCTGGTCTGTAGGATAAACCTAAGGTAACTGTTACAACACCTCTGTCCAAGAGGCCTTGCTTTGGTTCTCTGAAACTAAGAATGATGGTATTTGCTTATTTCATAAGACTGTTGTCAACTGAAAAAAAAAAAAAAAAAGCTGAAGTGTTATGCCAATTTAAGTTTTATAAAAAATTACTAAGCTCTCATTACATTATCCCATTCTCCAAAGAAACAGGGCTAAGACCTTTTCTGACAATGAAAGCCCAATTCCAAAGGCCTTCAGAACAGAGCTCACAATTACTCTGCCAAGACTGGACTGGAGTCCTCCAGAACTATCATCCATCTCCCTGAGAACTGTTAAGACCTCAACATGGAGACTTAAAAAAGCAAAAAGCAATCAACATGCCTAACCTAGTGTACACTTAAATGCCACTAATTACCCCCATTATTTTCATCTAGTAGCATTCTCAACACATTTCTCATCCCAGTCCCTGGTTCTCTGTAAGAGCACATGACTGTGTCTCCTGTCCTGTTTCTAGCACATGATTCAGCAACAATCTTAGTGCAGGTGAATGAGCAGCGAAGGAGGACAGAAATCCAGGACTGCAGTATTAGCCTCGTCATTCAGGCAAACTGCTTAACCTCCCTGAGCTGCAGTTTATTCATCCATAAAAATGAATGAAAATGAATCACAGGGCTTTTGAGAAGATGAAATGAAACAACATATGAAAGTGTTTTACAATCTATAAAGTGATATAATAAAAATGGGATATAATTATGGTAAAGCTTTTCTCCCAAAAGCCTCCCATCACCCCGTCTAGTCCTTCTGTTCATCTAGCTGAAATTTTACCCAGCCCTTCTCTCCCTCAGGAGGGCTAGACCAGGATGCTCAACTTCTCCAATCACGAGGAATTAGCCCAAATGAATTAAGTCCGAACAATCCTGAAAATACCAGCCACTTTAAAGCATCAAAACTGTATAGCCCCAACCCCATTTCGCCAAGGGCGGCCAAGCAGCAGTCTCAGCAGCTATCGGACGTGTGCAGGAAGAACTTACTTCTCTCAAACCAGAAGCAACTTGTTGATAATACAGGCCGCTTGGGATATTTCAATGGGTATCTTTTCCCTCTTATGTTTAGAGCCAGTAACATCCTTCAAAGTCTCTTTTTCCCTTTGTATTCATTCCGTGATATCTTAATTATAGGTTTATATATTGGACTTGACACTGTCCTACTGTCATAAAATTCCCTTGGAAAGACTAGTTATATATGGGTTATTTCTCAGAATGGAAAAGAAAATCATTACTATACTTAAAGAGCATTAAGAGATACTCTGTAGGATAAATGGAGGGGGAATACCACTAATATATGTAACTGAGGGGAAGTATCACTAATTATGTAAAAATCAAGACCTTGATTATTTCTATCCTTGAGAATTAGGGTTTTTGGCTGAGTTGAATCAATTTCTTTTCTGAGTTATCAATTGCTTTTCTTAATTGTCGCTTTGGCCTATGACTTATATAACGCAAATGGTAAAATTATAGAGACATAAGCTGTAGATACTGAAAATCTCAATCCTACCATTTTATGAGTTTAAAACTACAGGGTTCTCCTCACATTGTCTCCTGATTGAGTCTGCCCTTTTCACTGTGTAGGCAACAGACTGAACTGGCTAAAGCTAGTCTCAGAATCTTGGTGTCTGGAAATGAGGGATGACTGGGCTCAGTTAAAACACTACTAAAATCAACATGGGTAGCAACTTTCTAGTGGTAATTTAAATCTTCTGACAAAACCCCTGTCATGCTAGAAACACAGCTTTATCTAGATCTCGCAGCAGAGGCTCAAATGGTTGGTGGACATTACTAGCAAGAGCAGCTTAGCAGAAGGTACATTAATGTATTAAACATGTTACCTCTGGCAGGCAACACCAACATTTCATAATGTAATACTAAATAAACTCATGGAACAAATTACCTTGGTTCCCACTTGGATATATGCTCTGAAGCGAATTCATCCTAAGAAAATTTTTTTTCCCTCCAATTTTTTGGATTCCCAAATTGGATTTTCCAAAAAAATCCAATAAAATTTTTTATTTAAGACTGAGAGCTTGTGCAAGTGTACAGTGGGTTAGGGGGTGGGGCAGAGAGAAAGAGAGAAAAACTTCAGCAGACTCCACACTGACATCCAGCTCCAACCGATGACCCCAAGATTATGACCCAAGCCAAAACCAAGAGTTGGGCACTCATCTGACTGCCTCACCCAGGCGCCCCCAACCCAGAAAATACTTAACAGTATAGTTTGCTAAGAATGAGATGTTCCCCAGGAGCCATCTTAAAAAGTTCATGATTGAGATGATCAAGAGGTAACACCTGCATTTGAGAGTGCTTAGGTACAACTCAGCTCTTCTATAATACATGAGTGGAATCTGGTGCCTCTCTAAATACCCAAGAGATGCAAGAGACTCAGTGCCAAAACACGGCATGAAATGAAAGAGTTTTCTTCTGAGGCAAGAATATTTAGAACAATCCCATATACATCCCATGTAAGAGCAAAGAGTAGTATAAAAGAACAAAAATTATGTGAATAAATTTATGAACAAATAATAGGGGCGCCTGTGTGGCCCAGTTGGTTAAGCATCTGCCTTGGGCTCGGGTCGTGATCCCAGAGTCCTGGGATTGAGTCCCACATCAGGCTCCTTGATTGGCGGGGAGCCTGCTGCACCTCTGCTTGTGCATGTCGCTAGCTTTCTCTCTGACAGATAAATAAATAAATCTTTAAAAACAAAACAAGTATTTACTTTTCCAACTTACCTGTGGTAAGGATTCTAACAAACCTATAGATCCCACATTAGAATGGGGCACATGATTCTGAACTGTCATAGGTTGAAAACTTGGTGATCGAGAATAAAGTCGGACTCTTGACTTGAAAGCTTCAAGTTCATTTTTGAAAGCTTCAAAATAACCTTCTTCCTCTGCCTGGAAAACACACAAGACAAGACTCTCTTTTTCAAGACTTCAGACCACACAGTAAATTCTAACAAACGTATCAGATCTGAAGTGGAGGAAGTAAAGATAAGATGAATAGTTTACATGTCCGTAGACACCACCAAGATCCCCGTCAGATTTGTGAATACTCCCTGTTTTATAGGAAAATTATTGGTTTGCTCCACTTCCCTCTGCTCCAGTAAGATAAAACAAATATATATACACACACACAAATACATATGTATACACACAAATACAACAAAAGTAGGAATTCTCCGAATTTCTCTTGATTCTTGACAGGATCCAAAATAGTTCTCATTTCACCTCTCACATTGTCAAGCAACAACCACAGGATATTCTTAAAACTTTCTAATTCTCCATCAAATAATGATAGGGCACTATTAGCTGTTTCTATAAATCTCCAGCTCTATACTCCCTATTTGTAAAACCATGAAAACCAAATAAAATTTAACATTTTATTCCATTCTGTAAGTACCTTAGTGTTTTAGTGAAGCAAATACCTTTTCAGCATTATGGAGAGAAAAAGGTATAATGAGTATTATGTTGCAGGAAGGGACCTCCCTCCAATGATGTATAACACAATCAAGATTCTTGATGTAAAACACCTAATTGGCAGTAGCCTCCACTTAGTTTCCTCTGCAGATAAGGAATGATACAACACTTATTCTACACTAATAGGACTTCAGGCTTTAAGTTCAGGTGATGGAAGAGATTTTTGTCAAAATCTCATTCCATAATATCGCTGGGCCCATTTGTGTGGAATGCTATTTTTTCTTTAATGTAGTTTAGATTATGTAATCAATTAAAACCTGTGAGTTGGTTATTAACATCAATATCTATACAAATCACACAGACAATATTCTGTGCTGCATTCTATCTTTTATGAATTTAGCAATAGTTTCCTTAATTATATTATAGCATTTCACTTTAATCAATATATGGCACTTGCATAGACATACAGGATATTGGCCTTCAAGTCCAGAAGTAATCCTTCTGCAACAAACCATGAGAGGAGCCAAGGGGCACAGCTCCCAGCCTTACTGCATGCTGAAGGCCTGGGATTTACATCTAGAGACCTGACTAATTTTTGCTTTAAGTAACCTATTTTCTATGCTAATTTCCTAACTTGTAAAATAGAAATAATAACCCTCATAAAATCATATGAGGATTTAATGACTTAATCCAGGTAAACTGCCTAGAATAGTACCTGGCACAAAGTAATAAGTACCATGAAAGTTAGTTATTCCTTAATTTTAAAAAATTGTTAAGAACACAATGCTAAGATTAAAGACTTCTCAGTTCTATTTTGACAAAGTAAATTTCAAAGCCTAGACATAGGTTGGCTATGTTCCATTATCCTATTAATAAGCACTAGTTCAAACATATCCAATCATGTAAGGTGAAGAACTAAGTATGGTTTTTATTACACCTGTGTGTCAAGTGAACATTTAAAATAGTCATTAGAAGCCTTAACTAAAATACCAAGTCAATCATTTACTCATTAAAACTCTTACTGTTTTGGGAAAGTTTCATATTTAGGCTGCACTTTAGAAGCATTTACAACATTTAAGGTAGAGCTACTATTTATTTGACACACAGAGGGCGAGATTACAAGTAGGCAGAGAGGTAGGCAGAGAGAGAGAGGGAAGTAGGCTCCCGGCTGAGCAGAGAGCCTAATGCGAGGCTTGATCCCAGGACCCTGAGATCATGACCTGAACCGAAGGCAGAGGCTTAACCCACTGAGCCACCCAAGTGCCCCAATTTTTTAAAATTTAAAATACATTTAACTTCATACATTTTTTCCTCTTTATAAAATAGAGTATCACGTGTAATTCTACCACCCAAGAATAATAAAGTTAAACTTTTGGTAAATTTCCTTCTAATGTCTAATTGTGTATGCCAAAATATATTATATGCAAAAAAATGTAAAATACATACGTACTTTACTAGGCAAAACCGCACTATGTACCCATAACAAATTAGGAAATGGATCATTACTAGCATCTCACAAATCAATTCCCAAGTTCATTTCTTCTCCCTTCTCTGAGGTTACTTTCTTCTTAAAAAGTTACTCTCTTGCCTCTTTGGTTTTACTGCTTACTTATGTACCCTTCAACTAAATATTATTTAGTTCTGCTTGTTTTGCAACTTCATAAAGAATACAGAATTTTTTTTTAAAGATTTTATTTATTTGACAGAGAGAGAGAGATCACAAGTAGGCAGAGAGGCAGGCAGAGAGGGGGGAAGCAGGCTCCCAGCTGAGCAAAGAGCCTGATGTGAGGCTTGATCCCAGGACCCTGAGATCATGACCTGAGCCGAAGGCAGCTTAACCCACTGAGCCACCCAGGTGCCCCAAGAATATAGAATGTTTTTTAAAAGATACTAGATAAATCATTCTGTGACTTGTTTTTTCCCCCACACTCCATTTTTTCATCCACAGTAATGCTGGTTAATATTTACCCAAATGAATATCCCATTCATCCCACTGTCAACAGACACCTGGGTTGCTCCCAGCTTTTTTGCAACTATGAATAATTCTACTATGAACATTATGGTATGTGGTGTACGTGTATAAGAGCTTCTCGAAGGCAGCAGTTCTTTTCAAACTTGATGGTCTCAGGACTCCCTTCACACTTGAAAATTACTGAGGAAACTTAAGAGCTCCTGATTATGGAGGCTATTATTTGTCAATGTTTCCTGTTTTAGAAATTAAAACCCAGGAATTTGAAAAATATTATCTAACAACAAACTCATTACATGTTAACATTTATAACATTTTTATTTAAAAAAAAAAACTCTATTTCTGAAACAAAAAATATTTAGTGCCAAGTCTGGCTGAACAGAAGACAGCTGGATTCACACATCTGCTTTCTGTAACAAGTAACATCTTCATGTTATTATGAAAACGGTTTTGACTCAAGGCTTCCTGAAACCAGGTCTTGAAGACCGTTGGATGTCCCTGGACCACATGCTGAGAAATCTATTCTCTAGTACATATACCTAGGAGAATTTCTGGATGCAAACACTTGTTCAGCTTCGCTAAGAAATTTCCCAAAGTGGTTGTGCCAATTTATATCCCTATAAGCAGTGAATGTGAAATCTTACTGCTCTACTTCTTGTATAACTCTTCAATTATTACTAATCTAGTGAGTGTGAAATGGTATTTAATCCAGACATATCTATTTTTCTTTAATATGGCCAACATCATCCTATTTATATATCACTTCTTTCGACTTTCAGCAAAGCATTTTCTCAGATCATTAAAAATTTTCCTTAGGGGCACCTGAGTGGCTCAGTGGGTTAAGCTTCTGCCTTCAGCTCAGGTCATGATCTCAGGGTCCTGGGATCGAGCCCCACATCCATCGGGTTCTCTGCTCAGCAGGGAGCCTGCTTCCCTCTCTCTCTGCCTGCCTCTCTGCCTACTTGTGATATCTCTTTCTCTGTCAAATAAATAAATAAATAAAATCTTAAAAAGTTTTTTTTCTTAAATATAATTTTAATGGTTGTCCTAATATTCTTTGTACCACATGTTGTTTTTAACCATTCTTCTGGTTGTTTAAATTTTAGGTGGTTTCCTATTATTTCATTACAAAAGTCATTTCTCATTAAACTGTGAGTTTTATACATGGAGGATACACTATTTGTTTCATTCAATACTGTATCCTCAGCATCTTGAAAACAGTCCTTGCATTAGTGGACAGTCAAGACTTATTGGCTGAATAAATGATGCAACACTCTAATTTCCCTGAACACATTCATTTAAACATGCCTCAATTTCATGTGCATGCTACAGTACAGCCTCTTACAGAGCTCCCTGAACTCTAAATTAGCATGAAATCAGCAATATAATTTTTCCCACTATAGTATCTATGGAGAGTTTAGTCTGTGGCATTCTGGTTGGACGGCTGTCTTTGATGTATATGGACCAAAGAGGTCTCAGCTAAGGCTTAAGCTTCCCATTTAAAAATATTAAATAGTTACTTACTTTGGCTTTCTGGAAAAATAAACGAAAACACCCTCTTGGATCCACATTACAGTTTTTGGCCATTTCCATAATAAACTGCATTACAACAGCCTGATGTGCTATTTGTTCCATTAGAGCCCCTTTCTGAAAACAGAGAGATTAAAATTATGAGAAATACCTCTGACAATGTATTTAATATTGTGATTACTTGTTTGGATTTTAAAACATGATTTTCCAACAGGTTAAAAAAGAAAAGGGTTTATAGTATGTGGGAACAAGAGAAATGAGGTGGCAAAGAAAGTACACTGGAGAAAAGTTTCCATATGCTAACTAAAACAACTGAAAATATTCCCACAGTAAACTCAAGTAGATCTAAAAACAAAAAATTTATTATTACCATTTAATAACCTTTCTGCTTTCATTTGAAATAACATAAAAGACAAAACAAAAAACCAAAAGAGCAAATCAGAATTCCACTAAGGTTCCAGAAACTCAAGACTCACACAATACCTGTTCAGCTTCTAGATGAAAACACCATAAAATAAGATATTTAGCAGTCTCTTCACATACAAGATATGGATGGTCAGATAAAAATCTCTGACTATCATCCCATCGACTCAACATACCTAAAAGAAAAAAAAAAAAGAATTAAACCACAATTGTCAAATACTCTTATAAACAAAGAAACTGGTATTTTAAATGATTCTCTTTAAAGACAATTCGTATCACCACAGCAATTTGTTTATGATAAAAGAGCAAATAAGAGGGATAAAACTCCTTTATTTATATATTTTTTAAGATTTTACTTATTTATTTGAGAGAGAGAGAGAGCGCACACGCGCGCGTGTGCACCCACACAGGAGCAGGGTGTGAGAGGCAGAGGTAGAAGCAGACTCCCTGCTGAGCAGGGAGCCCCATGCAGGGCTCCAGGATCATGACCTGAGCCAAAGGCAGACGCTTAACCAACTGAGCCACCCAGGTGTGGTGATAAAACTCTTTTAAAGCAATACCCAATATATTGGAAAGAGCTTCCCGAGTTCACAAATTAAGTTTTATTCCAGATAATTAGTCAGGTTAAAGTAGGGTGATGGGTTTAAAGCCAAAAACCCCTCCATCTGGGAAATGCCTGATGTTCCAGGCAAACTGAGATGACTAGTCATCCTAAGCTAAACTGAGTACAGTCTTTATTTAAAGAAACTCAGTATTATTTATCCACAGAATACAAATTTTTCTACTAGAAAGATGGCAAAGAAAGCAAAACCTCAAGAAACTGCATTTAGCAAACACTTACTAAAATAGAAAAACTGTATTATCTCTAACTTATTTAAAATGTCTAAGAAAGGGGCATCTGGGTGGCTCAGTGGGTTAAGCCACTGCCTTCGGCTCAGGTCATGATCCCGGGGTCCTGGGATTGAGCCTCACATCGGGCTCTCTGCTCAGTGGGGAGCCTGCTTCCCCCCTCTCTCTGCCTGCCTCTCTGCCTACTTGTGATCTTTCTCTGTCAAATAAATAAATAAAATCTTTAAAAAAATAAAAGTAAATAAAATGTCTAAGGTGATATGGTCAGACACTGACAGCATAGAAAACCAATAGGTTTTCTGAAAACCAGTAGGTATTATAATAGTAAATATACTTTAACCATTTCAGTCATGTTAATCATTTAGTCGTATTTATAACATATAGAAAACGAAATCAGTTACGTATACTTGAAAGCAGATACCATTTTGCTTCAAAATATCAAGCTAATCCAAATATTATTTAAGGTGTATCTTCATCTTTATCCAAATTAGTAAGAAATTTGGTGCAAAGTTCAATGACATCATGGAACCAGCAAAGTGTTCAGCTTTAAATTTTGTTCAGTAAGCCTTACACTTGAGCCAATTAAACTATGTTAGCTTTAGATTCTTAAGACTCATCCAGGGGCTCTAGGGTGGTTCAGTTGGTTAAGTGTCTGCCTCCGGCACAAGTCATGAGCCTGGGGTCCTGGGATCAAGCCCTGCATCAGGCTCCCTGCTTAGTGAGGAGTCTGCTTCTCCCTCTGTCTCTGCCCCTGCTTATGCTCTCTCTCTCTCAAATAGAGAAATAAAATACTAAAAAGAAAAAAAAAAAAAAAGACTCATCCAAAGAAGTCTGTATGTCACTGAATCATTACAGAGATTTCGCAAGGTGGTCTCAACAGTTTGGCTTTCCTCTAGACACAAACTGAACTCCTATATATTAAAGTTCCACATTAGAACACAAGAACAAAACTGAGAACAAATGTCTTACTGAGAAATACACATTTAGCGCAACACGTGGGAATCAACTGAAAGTGAATGATTTCCTCATTCAAAAAAACAAGGGAGTAATCATTTTAGCATTTTCACATAAAGAGTTTTACAAGCTTTATAAAGCATTTCCCCAACACTTTAGATACAGCAATTAAGGCACTTCAAATACTGAGAAACAATGATTTTCAAAGTTACTTAAAACTACTTCTCAAGGTATACTTAAAGAGTCTAATAACTTCTGGGGCTAAGATCTAAAGAAGGCATAAATCTTTCTTATACCTGAAGCCATAAAATAAATCCTATGAAGCAATTTTGCATTAGTTTTGTTATACTCCTGAAGAGGCAGTATTTTCAACTCTATCCACCACCCAACAGAGAGAGCATTGCTTCTCTTTACTTCTCCACGGCAGCATCATCACTTACTGAGGCACCAAAATCCTATCCATTTTGGTTTCTTTTATAGGAAGGATAGTATAAAATGGTTAGTGACACTTACAGGGATCATAGGGGCATCATTAAATGTTGCAATTTTTAAGCTATCCATTTGATACCCAAGACAAAATTAATACTTGAGGCTGACCACAGCTTTTCTTTATCTGAGAAATACCTGTCATCACTTGATTTCAAAAATGTGTATCGATAATTATGAAACTGAGGTTAGATTACAGGTAGTCCACACATTCCTTTGTGAAAAGAGCGTGGAATCTGATGAACAAAACACTTAAAGATAATGAATGGCTTTAGTGGAACAGAACATAACTGAAATTACTAATGTTATTTTGGAATTTGCAAACAAATTTATAAACAAATAGAGGGTAGCACAATCTAGCATGGTGACTAAACAAGTCAACTCTGGAAATCAACGGCTTAGGTCCGAAAACTGGCCTTTCCACTTACCATAGAGATAGGCATCTCTATGCCTCCCTCTCCTCTTCTATAAAATAAGGCAAAAAATAGTATCTCACTCAGGGTTTCTGTGAGAATTAAATGAGTTAATACATATAAGGCACTTGGGACAGTGGCTGATGCAGAGTAACCATTAGGTAGTATCAACACAAAAGGAAACAATTCATTCTTTCATTAAATAGCAAATACTTTGGTTAAGATTAATCTAGCCATTCCAACTAGCCAACCAATCTCTGAATGCTTGAAAAACCTTACTTTGACAAATTAAAATATTTCCATTATGTGCTTTCACCTATGTATTTTCCTCAACATCTAAATCCCAATCCATCCATTGACTCTCAGTACTCCACCTAATTCCTGAAATGGTCCTCCAATACACATTGTTCCTGATTTCCCTTTCTTTGTGTTATAATTATGGAGTAATAGATTTGAATCTTTTAAATTATACTAATCACTTTAATGTCTCTATCTGCAAAAAATCTCCCCAAAAGGTTGTAAATTTTTCTTTTAAGATTTTATTTATTTATTTGACACAGAGAAAGAGATCACAAGTAGGCAGAGAGGCAGGCAGAGGGAGAGGGAGAAGCAGACTCCCCGATGAGCAGAGAGCCCGATGAAGGGCTCGATCCCAGGACCCTGAGATCATGACCTGGGCCAAAGGCAGAGGCTTATTAACCCACTGAGCCACCCAGGCGCCCCAGGTTGTAAATTTCTTAATGAAAGATAAATGACCTCTTTTTCTGTATTTTCTCAGGCCCAGGGCTCCTGTATTTTCAATTACCTACCACCAGCCAACTATTTCTACACAGACTTGCACAAAAATTCATCTATTTGAAACTAAGCCCATTTTTCCCTCCCTGCCATCTATGGTGCTTCCTAGGCTCCATGTCACCCACTCAAAAATTCTAGAAATTCCTCTAAACATTTCCATGCCTCCCACATCAAACTGATCACCAAGTCCTGTGGGTATATTATCATAAACTGTTAATAAAGTAAATCACATTAGTAAATTTTCCAATGTTAAGCCATCCTTGAATTCTTAGGATAAACCCCTTTAAAATATTTTCTTCCTATTATAAAAATGATGTATATTCATTGTGGAGAATTTGAAAAAATTCAGAAAAATCATCTGCAATCATATAAGAGAAAACTAGTTAACACTTGAATTGTATTTATTTCTGGGCTTATTTTTTAATGACTTAAAAACTAGAATCCTATCATACATATGAATTTTCTATTCATGTCATTCCACATTCTATTCAGGAGTACTTTATAGTAAATGTTTTTCAAAAACAGTACATTAATGTATTTTTGAAAAGCAGTATGTATGTGCTTACACTGAGGAGACTAAATATCCACCTTCCATACAAATGAGAAAGATCCATCATAGTATTTATGTAAACATTTACAGCTTTTTTTTTTTTTTTAAAGATTTTATTTACTTATTTGTCAGAGAGAGAGAGCACAAGCTGGCAGAATGGCAGGCAGAGGCAGAGAGAGAAGCAGACTCCTGTTGGACAAGGAGCCCACTGGGGGACTGATCCTAGGACTCTGGGATCATGACCCGAGTTGAAGGCAGCAGCCTAACCGACTGAGCCACCCAGGCATCCCACATTTACAGTTTTTGATAAAATTTCCAGTGACAGCACTCTACAGACTCAAAAACATAAAATCATAGCTAACTTTGGCTGGAAGTGAACAGATGGTGTACCATGAAAAACTATGCTACATCATGAAAAACCTACTCACATGATCACAAAGTAAGTGATGTCAAAGATGTATATGACATTGAATAAAACTTAAGAAATTTAAAAGAAATTTTAAAACTTAAATTTAAAACTTAGAGAAATTTAAAAGAAAAGACTTTGTTGCTAAATTGATATGTTATGTTTATAAAACATGAATTAAATAAAGTAATAAATACAAATATAAGGGGAAAAATCAAGACATCACTGCTTCAAAATACTCCATGGTATGTTCATACCATTTATCATTAAGTGGTAAAGTCCACCTAATTATAAGAGCGTAAGTAACATAAGATAGTCAACAAATACCATAATGGAAATGTTAATGTTAAGTACACTTGAAACCACAGAGAAGTACCGGTATTGAGCCCCTGGAGCCCTTTACAGCCCCCCATGTATCAGGCCCTTGTCTTCCAAGAGTCTGGAATGCAATCTAAGTTTGGAAAGCCTCCAGATGGAAGTTTTAATTACAGTTGCTATTCCAGATGTGTTTAATTCAGAGTATATTATTGTAGTCATAATTCTGACAAATGCTTTTTCCCCTTTACCATAATAAGCATATAATACCAGAAACATTTGCTTCCACACAGCAAGAACAGCACTGAACTTCCACTATCTCGCCTAAGGTCTATCAGTTCTGTGCCACAATTTAGTCCACAAAGACTTTTTATCATCATCCCACGTGATTACCAGCTGGCCCATTTCATACTGATGAACTTGGTGAGCAGGAAACAGCAGGTATCCAGGTGTCCTGGTAAGATACACTCATGCCAGAAAGTGGGGGAAAAAATACACATGAACTTTTGGGAGCCTACTACTGTAGTGAAGTTTCTGGGGATACAAGAAGCTGTGGCAAGTAGGATATCTCCTCCAAAGTAAAAAGCCAGTGTACATTTCCATTAAGAAATAGGCACAACGTGAATCTGGGAGTAGCTATCAGGTCTGGTTGGCTTTGAAGACAGAAGGCTCTGGTTAGTATTACAGGATGAGACTCTGGAAGGCCCCAACATGCAATGGCAAAACCACTGTTTCTTAGTCACCTGTGGATGTCAAGTCAGCCTTTTCCTCAGCCATCTCCCTGCTCGCAAAATATAAGCTCAGGGGTCATGGTGCCAGACTTGAGATTATGCAGAGATTCAACGGCATGGGATCTCCCCATTAAGAGATTCCAGTATAGCCTCTGAATACCTAATGTGCCAGTAGCAGAAACCAGTGCTGAAAACTAAATATGGCACTATATGCTGGATGGACCAGTCAGCCATCAAGTAACAGAGTGATTATCTTGGTCCCATTTCATCCCATAGAAAGCAGTGGTTCCTCACTTGATCAAACCCATTCTAGATCTGGTATTGCCCTCCCTGCTTGCCATGCTTCTACAAGTAATACATCTGTGGTCTTACTAAATGAATTATTCAGTACCATACCACATTAGTTCTTGACCCAGAAATTCATTTTACAGCAAAAGACATGAAGACAACAGGCTCACGAAATTCAATGGTCTTACACACATCATTACCCAGAAGCAGATTTTATGGAATGGTTAAATGTTTTATTGAAGACTTAAATACAGTTACACTGCCAGGTGGGTTACAACACCTTGTTGAGATTGGGTTATTTTCCCCACACAAAATTGTTTCTTATTGAGACATTCAGTTTACAGCAAAAATGAGGGAACTGTTTTGCACCTGCTAGGTGTCCCATGGCTCCAAAGCAACAAGCTTACAGAATGGCAGCTAATGATGACCACCTGCAGGATGCTATTCCCTGGAGGCAGTGGAACACACAGGTGTAGGAAGCAAGGGCTACAGGTGGGAGGGGCAAATCACATTATCACAACCAAGACTCTTTAAATAAAGACTTTTTAAAAGTCAACTTTTTTGGAACGCCTGGGTGGCTCAGTTGGTTGGGCTGCTGCCTTCAGCTTAGGTCATGATCCCAGGGTCCTGGGTTCAAATCCCACATCAGGCTCCTTGCTTGGTGGGGAGCCTGCTTCTCTGCCTCTGCCTGCCACTCTGCCTGCTTGTGTGTGCACACTCTCTCTCTCTCTCTCTCACAAATAAATAAATAAGATCTTTTAAAAATAAAAAAGTAAACTTTGTTCATTTCTTCGGGTTCTATCCTTGAATTAACCTGAATACACAGCCTGCTTTTTTTAAAACAAGAAATATGAGAAAAATAAATCCTTTATGGATAAACTATATAAAAAGGGAGAAAAAATCTATCTACTGTCTTACTAAAACTGAAGGATGAACGAAATTTTAAATACTTAGGGGGGAAAACACCATTGGGAGTGTATTTCAAAATGCCACTTAATAAGCTTATTAACATATTACAAATAAAAACTATGTTTATGAAATTAGCATATTACTTGGCCTAAAAAAAATTACGCCTTGAGCCTTAGCCCCTAACATTTTCCAGTGGCATTTTGACCCCAGCGGCACCACTCTGCTTACCCATCACAGCATGTTGTTTCCTGACTCTGCCTTTGCACACGATGCTGCTGTTCCCTTATCTACAGGTAGAACTCCTACGTGTTCATAATCTAGCTAAGATATTCTCTCTCTCTCTCTTTTTTAAAAAATTTTATTTATTTATTTGACAGACAGAGACCACAAGAAGGCAGAGAGAGAGGGGGAAGCAGGTTCCCCGCTAAGCAGTGAGCCTGACTCAGGGCTCGATCCCAGGACCCTGGGATCATGACCTGAACCAAAGGCAGAGGCTTTAACCCACTGAGCCACCCAGGCGCCCCAGATGTTCTCTCTTATGGAAAGTCTTCACCACATCAACCCTCAGCCCACCATCTTTCTCCCATAGAGAAAACTACTTCTCAGTACTTTGTATATGTCTGTCTGTGACTATGTTTATCTGAGTTGCAGTCGAAGGATCTGCAGGAATTATATAGGAACATATCCAAACCCTGAAAATAATGAATGTGAATCTTATAACCATAAAATAATCAGATACCATGGAAGCAAAGAGGGAAAATGACAAAAGCAAAGACTAGTTGGGGAATGGAAAAAGGCTATGGAGTAAGCAAAGACTGTGCCTTAAGATGGCAGCATTAATTAATAATAGATTGAATTTTGCTTCTCTTCTCAATTAAGTTTACTGTCAATCTATTTATGACCAAAAACAGTCTGCAGCAAGAGCTGTATGACTGTGCCAAAGTACCACAAAACTGGAATTTTGCCACTTATCTTCTTTTTGACCGCCCATTTTATAAATACACTTTTTATACACATATTTATGATGTCAAACACTTTTTTTTTTTAAGATTTATTTATTTTGACAGAGCACAAGCAAGCAGGAGGGCAGAGGGAGAGAATCTCAAGCAGATTCCCTGCTGAGCACGGAGCCCTACCCAGGACTCAATCTTACGACCCCAACATCATGACATGAGCTGCAATCAATAGTCGACTCTTACCGAATGAGCCACTCAGGCGCCCTGATATCAAACACTTTATAAAAGAAGGGAACTAAGCAGTAGACTTACCAAAATGTCTGATTTTTTGTTCATATTTCTGCATAAATGATTTTGATTTATCTTCATCTTCTATTTCTTTTCTTTTATCTTGATTAATAAAACTCTAAGAAAAAAATTCTTGCAGTTAAAATCAGATTTTATATTCACCAAATATTCTTTCTCAGATACTGAATGTCTCGCAATGCTTCCTACAGACACTATAAAAAGGTGGTATAGTATTATACTGATATTATACCATCAAATTCATCTGTTAAACTCTTTTAAAAAAATAAAAACTTTCTTGTATTAGTTTCATTATTTTTTAAAATGGTACATGCGAAAATTATAGAATTATTTTAGAAATCATACCAGAAAATCCAAGTGCCAATTAACCTTTTTGTTAAACGGAATTTCCCTACCAAAGTATACAGAAAGATCCTTTACATGCATAATATATATTTTACATTATTCATTTCCTTTAAATATTTTCAACTCTAGCCTAATCTCTGGAGTTCTCTCTGGAAATAAACTTAGACATTCAAAAGTGTGTAAAATGTATTTATTATAACTTCTTCGCTAAGACATAAAACTAAAATGGACCTTTATCATAAACTTTTCTTAGGAGAGGTCAGTTTGATTCTGAAATCAAGTACAGATTTCTATTAAGTAGATGCTTATCTTGAGCTAAGAAGCCATAAAGCAGACCAAGATGAAGTTTTTATGTAGCCAGAAAAACTGGCAGGACAGTTTCTCAGAACATTCTGTGATTGCATTTAAACCTTGTGATCATCACTGCCAAAAACAAAAATCACAAACTAGCTCTCTGCCAGTTTACAACTCAAAAGCACACAAGTTTATATATTTCAAAATAGAAACATTTCCTTTATATATCCTGCTATCTAGACCAGCACTGTCCAATAGAAACATGATCCAAGTCACAAATAAAAAGTTTTGTATTAGCCACATTAAAAAGCAAAAAGAAACAGATGAAATCGGTAACACATTTATTTAACCCAACATATCCAACATATGATCATTTCAACACGTAAGACAAAAAAATTATTAATGAAATATTTTACTTTTTTTGGTACTAAGTTATCAGAATCTGGTGTGTATTTTACACTTACAGCACATCTCAATTCGGACTAGCCACATTTCAAGCGCTCAATAGTACATGTGACTAGTGGCTATCGAGTTGGACAGCGCAGATCTAGACCAGTCCTCTCAAGTCTCAAGCTCCCAGACAAAATCAATGTACGATTTTGAGCAAATGACTGGAACATAAAGATAATCCTAATTAATTTGTGGTATAAATGTAGGCTAGGTTAGAACCTAAGTTAAAAAAAAAACAACACACATAAAAATAATTAAAAGCAGACAAATGAAAATATTTCCTTTGTGACCACTGTGTTAAGAGACATTAACTTTATAAAACAAAGAAACACTACTTTGACCATTCCCTCTGGAAGGAAAAAAAAAGTTATTTTAAGTAGTTATGGTGTAAAAACGCAAACCAGAAATAAGTGCTAAGAAGACACGCCCCCTTGGAACAATATATATAGATACAGTGAATCATTCAGATAAAGAATGATCTTGGTGCGTGTGCGTGCACAGCGCAGAAATAATACAAACTGGCACAGGCATATTAAAAAGTCTAGAAAGATATAACTAACTGTTAACAGTGGTTATCTCTGGGAATGAAACTGGAAGTGAAGGAAGACTTTCAATTTGATTTTACATACTTGTTTTTTTTACAGTAAGCATGCTGTACTCATAATTTTTCTCAATTTAAGTAGCACTGATGGAGCTACTGCTGTTGTACATTTAACCTATGTGTATTCCTTGTTGCTGTAGCCAAACGAGGGCTGGTCCAGGGAAAGGAAATTGAAAGCCCTTAAGAGGATGGGTTGAGAGCAGATGCTAGGACAGAAACAAATAATGTTATGGACCGAGAAGTCTAGAGAGTAATGATGGTTAAAGATAAAGCGAATGTGGACTTAGACAAGAAGGAGCAATCTCTCCCTGCAGCTTCGAGAATTTAGTACAGATAGAAGTGCTACTTCACACATTAGTAAAAATGAATTTCACTGCCCAGTTCTTCTTTAGATACGGCACAAAGAATAAAGCCGACATAATCCAGTGAGAAATTGGAAACTACTCTTAGTAACTACTAAGTTGGCAAAAGTGCTGTAATGCTGGTAATGCCCAATCTGGACTATTACCTGAGGTTTACTAAATACATTCTGGTAAGCAAGGGTGTAAGACTCTAACAAACCCAGTACTTACACATTAGTGTCACGGAACTGACAGCAAGCTGGCAGCAACATGGGAAAGCTCTTGTAGCATCTAAGCTTTACCACGTGCCTGGCCCTATCCTGTGGGCTTTTAAGGAGTTAGCTCAGTCTTTATACTCACCCTATGTTGCTGAAGAAACTGAGGCTTAGAGATGTTAAGTGACTTGCCCAGGGTGACAAAGCCAGCAGCATGTGACAAAGCTGAGTGTGAGTCCAGAGTCCACCCTTACATTCAGCGCGCTATGCTACAGTCACAGATTTATAGTAACGACTACCCACACTGGCACTACCGGGGAGACAGGTTTCTGTAACAAACACTTTTCAAAAACTGTCAAAACTGAATACTGTTCACAGGTTCTGTTGCTTTGTTACCAAATGCGCACAACTGGTTTGTACAAACACTTCCGTTTTCTCTTCTTTCATTATAATCCCATAAAAAGTCGTACCTTGTTAAAAACGTCCTTGCTAATGGCATCCATGTTCCACAGACACATCCTCTCTCTCTGTACCAGGGCCTCCTCTTTCTGCCGCCATTCTTCCTCACGTTGCCTTAGCTCCGACACTGCTGTTTGTGCTCTGGCATGCTCCTGATCCAGGGACTCGGAGTTATGCAGGGCTAAGCTACCAAGTTTTTGCTGAGCTTCGGCGAGATTCCATTTGCATGCCACAGAGCTCTTCACAAACTCTTTCTGCTTTTGACAAGCCAGTTCAATCCCATGGCTATACATCTGGATAAAAAACAATATTGGAAGAAATGAAGAAGGCAATGGTATGTTTATGCAGCACAACTCAGTTTTCTTTTAGTCAAGGACTGCTGTATGGTATCTGTGGCACACACGCGTTCTGCCTTCTGTGTATGCAGTTATACTTTTATATTCTAGGTCTTCTTTCATCAACTAGACGCTAAAAGCTTCTTTGTTAATCTACGCCTCTCTCCTGACAACTAACAGCAGCAAAAAGCCTGATAATTAGCCCAGTGTTCTGCCTATAGCTGGTGCTCAAGGAATATTTGATTTATAGCTTCTTAGCCCTGAAACAGCAGAATGAGAACAAAAGCTTCAATCTAGCCCATCACCTTAAAACTGAACATGCTGAAAACCAGATCTTTAGAGTTTTGTTCTGGAAGTTCCTCACTGCAAAGAACCTTTTATTTGGAGGAATTACTTCTTGGTTTCTATTTTCTTTACTATCCCAATCCCTAGTGATCTGAGAAGTTCTTATATGTGGAGTTTCTGTTCACAACTGACTCTGTCAGACATTCTTTAACTTAATCCTAATCAAAATAGGCAAAATTATTTAAAAAAACAAAACAAAACCAAAAACTGGACCATCCTCATGACTGACTCTGTTCCATTCAGAAGCAAGAGTAATTATTTTTATTTTTATTTTTTTAAAGATTTTATTGATTTATTTTGACAGACAGAGATCACAAATAGGCAGAGAAGCAGAGAGAGAGAGAGAGAGAGAGAGAGAGAGAGGAGGAAGAAGGCTCTCTGCCGAGCAGAGAGCCTGATGCGGGGCTCGATCCCAGGATCCTGGAATCATGACCCGAGCTGAAGGCAGAGGCTTTAACCCACTGCGCCACCCAGGCGCCCCGAGTAATTAGTTTTAATATTTACTGAACCACTACACTGACAGTACTGTGATGGGTCTTTAATTTCTTATATTCTTCAACTCCATAAAACAAAAGCCGAAGGCACATTCTTTATGACTTCTCAGCCAAAATGTATCAATTTCAAACTAAGTATTTGGAACAATTTTACTTTGATTTGTTCCCTAATCTGCGTCACTACTCAAGCCTTTATAATTTCATACTTCAGCTATGGAAATACAATCTTTCTCATCTGAAGCCATTCTCCACTCCACTAGACTTTGAGTAATTTCTCCAAAAAACAAATCTGATAATTCTACACACTCTTAGTATCTTGGGATAAAGCACAAATTCTGTGGCATGGCATGGTTCTTCATGATCTCATTTCCATTATCTCTCTAGAGTCAGTTCTAGTTACTCTTCAATGTGACAACTCCTCGTCCCCTAACTCCGATCTCCATTCCAGACTCTGGCATCGCTTCCATTAAGTTTCCTCCAAGTCCTTCCCTTCCCACCCAAGGTTTACATACTCCTTAATGGTATTTTCACAGAATGTTGTGCTTATTTGTTTACTCAACCAGCAGCTTCTCAAGAGGCTAGAATTCCATCAATCTTAGATGCATAAATGATTCTCCACTTCTTGGAACAGACCAGTGGTAGCAAAGAATTCTGAGGCAAGTAGCATGCAAGGCCTCAACTTTTCAGAGGAATCCTAGATTTATGTTGTGGCAAATGTGGACATTGTTGTTATTCAGGTGGCTTATTAGTTTAGCAGGTCTGGAGCCCAGGTACCACAAGGCCCTAACCAACCAAGTAAAATATTTATTTTTATTTTTTGCTCTCTTAGTTAGGATCAAGAATAACTGTAGCCCAACTATGCTAAGAAGAGGCCAGAAAAAGGAGAATAATGAAGCTATAAAATCTGTTTTGTAAGACAAAGATACACTCAGAAAGCAATATGGACAAATGAAAATACCTTGCATTTTCAAATTATGTGGGAACAAATATTTATGTCTCAAATCAAACAAAGAAATCCTATTTCTAAATTCTAAAAATAATTCATGTTTAAATTCTTCTCCACAGACTACACAGACAGCATCTGGCCATTTGAGCAAACTATCCAACATACACTGAGATGATTAGGGGGAAAAAAAAAATCACATTTTACCTGTGAACACACCAAGGTTTTAGAAGAACATTAAACAAAATAATATTTTAATGAACATGAATTCAAAAAGATACTGCTGGCATTAGGTTTATTAATACTTTATATTAAAAATGCTCATACAGGAGGGGCACCTGGGTGGCTCAGTGGGCTAAAACCTCTGCCTTCGGCTCAGGTCATGATCCCAGGGTCCTGGGATCAAGCCCTGAGTCGGGTTCTCTGCTCAGCAGGGAACCTGCTTCCCCCCTCTCTCTCTGCCTGCCTCTCTGCCTACTTGTGATCTCTCTGTTAAATAAATAAATAAACTCTTAAAAAAAATGCTCATATAGGATCTCTAAATTCTGAATTCCTTTTACTTTAACTGGGTATCAGAACTATACATCACATATGACACTAAGAGATCTAGATTTCCCATGTCTAGTAAAATTAAACCAGAGCTGTTTTTGAAAAAAAATTATAAAATATTTATAATTTTAATTAAACATTTTATTCTTTCCAAATATTGCAATCCAAAAACTTAAGTCCTAAAGTCAGCAAGACAAGTAAGTGGGTTTAAACACATGAACTAATTCAGGATTAGTAATCACTTTGCAAATCTTAACACGAAAGGTAGCGTCTGGCATATGGTTTTACATTACATCACAGAATGGGAAGTGCAGCAGGTAGGAAAAAACACTACTAGGAGTCAGAAGTGGGTTCTAGTTTTAATTCTGCCACTAACTAGCAACAAGATCTCAGAGAAATCATTTTTAATGAAGATAAGCCTGTTTACTCATAAAATCACTTTCAGCTATATAAGCTTACAATTCCAAGTGCACCAGTAAAAAGTACTTTTTTTTTAAGTTGTTGGTTTTTTGGTTTTTTTTAAGTAATCTCCACACCCAACATGGGGCTCGAACCCACAACCCCGAGATCAAGAGTCACATGCTCCTCCGACTTAGCCAGCCAGGTATTATTCAGCTTAGATATTTTCTAAGTTCAGAGTTTCTCTTAGACTTTCGTGATTCAACCACAACGCACTGAAATTCCGGAGACCTCTTATTCTCTTCATATGCCTTCAAAATTGACAACAGCAGCTGCTGTTCATTGTTTCCCCTCTGTAACACATTCATTATATGCTCATATAACACATTTTGTATATAAAGATGACACTAGCAATCCATAATTAGGGGGTGACTACTGACCTATCAACTCTCAATCTGGCCTCCTAAAAAATGTCTTGCACTTTCCCAGAGACTGGCTGGCCGAAGTACAGTCTATGGTTATGAAACAGCGTTTTTTTCAGTGAAGCCAGCTAACTCAGTGAGCTGGGCACAGGACCGATGGCCTTACACTTACTGGCAAACGATGTAAATAACTCATATTCACTAACAGCTAGCAAGATGAGCCTAGAGAAGAGCTGCTAATTCAGTTAAGCTCCTAGGGACCCCGTTTTGCAAGAAGCCTAGAAGGCAGAGAGAAACCCATAACATGTCACTGAACATGTTAGTGTTTAGTCTGTTTTCCTGAAATATACTTCCAAACACACTCAAGTTAGGAGAAACACCAGGACAAGGTGATGAGAGTATGTAAGCACTTCCTAAGACAGGACCCAGAAAAATCTTAAATGGTGTGTCGGAAAGAAGGCTGGACTGAAAACCACAAGTAGCACCAGGAATCTGAGGAAAAAGCCTGAAGGAAAAGGCAAACGGGTGTCTGTATGTTGTCAATGGAAAACGATATGAAGCAAAACTTAAAATATAACTGGACGGGAAAAATGGTCACGTTAAAGAGACAGATTTACACCAGCACCAAAAGTGAGGTTTACAGAATTTATTCAGGTGTCAGAAGTCAGTGAAATTGGGTCCTAAATCTGCCTAAAGTCAGAAGCTCGGTGAATTACTGAAATACAACCAACCATTCACCGTTCCTGTTAATCGCGCACAAGTATCAAAGCCTTCAGCAGAATAACGCGCTCGGATACAGACACGCACAAGGGGACAAAGGGTCAACGTTATAACGTTAGCCGCCCCAAATCTGGGTGCTGTCAGGAGTGGGGTGAAGGTGGGGGAGGGGGAGGAACGTCTTCCACGGATGGGAAGGCATTAGCCAAGGTGAAAAGGTGTGCGTGGAGGAGGAGGTTGGGAATATATATATGGCCAGACCTCTTAGAAGCCCTCAGAAGATGCTACAATAGCCGTGGAATGGCATCAAGCTCCGGACACGCGGGAGAGATGGGAGCGCAGAACAGGGCACAGGGAGGGTCGCAGAGACAGGGGACTCCGGGGGCCTGGCGACACCTCCCCATCCCCCTCGCCAAACGCGGGACCCCTCTCACCTGCGCGCCGCCGCCCGGCAGCTGCGGGCAGCGGGGAGAACTGGGGGACACGTCCAAGTCACTCTCTTCCTCAGCCTCACCCTCGGCCCGAGGGAGGCTCCAAGGTCCTGGCGGCGGCCACGGCTGCTCCATGTCCGGTGGCCCCCAGCCCTAGAACCGCCACTGCCAACGGACTTGGCGTGAGTGGAACCTGCTGCGCGGAGCCAGCCTCCCCAGCCGGCCAGGGCCGTTACCCAGAATCCCTCTGCTGGCCGCGACGCCGACGCACACCCCGCGCTAGCCTGGGCCGCGGAGAGCGGAAGAAGACGGACTCGCTTGGTATCGTCATTTCCGGTATGGTGGGCGGGGCCGCGGAGGCAAGTCTGGGCGCCCACCCGCGGGGGCGGGGGCTGGGTCTGGGGCTTGCGTTTCTCTAAAAGGTTTGAGTGCTGCCAGTTGACCCTTCAGGGCACTGCGAGTCACTTAGGCGCAAGTCCTTGTTGCCTAGTATTGGTGGGCGGAAGATAGGGCGGAATTTTGAAAAGCAGGGCCAAGTGTTCTCCCGTTTCGAGCTCCAAGCTACAGGAGTTCGCGAAAGTTGGCCGGGAGGGCGCGGAAGATGAAGGACCCGAGCAAGCGCGGCTCGGAAATGCTTGCGAGGGTGGGGGATCACGGTCCAAGCCCGGGCAGCTCGCATCCCACGGACCTCTAGTCCTGAAGGCGTGCGCTTTCGTTGAGCCCTTTGTTGAGAAGAAACACCCAGCGTGCCCAAGGTCACACGTTTAAGGGGAAGACATGCGATCAGCCTAATATCAGACCCTATGCGAGGGTCTAACCTCAAACCGTGTATATCCAGCAGTACCACGCTGCTGCCCTGCTCATAATTACAGAGACCCGAATAAAAACGAGACGCCATTTTCCCAGTCTCGTAGACTGACAAACTTTGAGGTTTGTCAATACACAGTGTTGACAAGATGTGAGGAAAATGCTGTTGAAGAGAATGGGATTTGTGTCACCTTTTTAGAGGGGTGATTTGACAATATCAGTGGTTTAAGGGCTTTGATTCAGCAATTTCACTACCAGGAAATTATCCAACGGTTTTGTAACAATATCCAATGACTTACCTACAAAGATGTTTATTGCAGCAGTTTGCAGCCAAAAAACAGGAAACTAGTTGTCCATCAGTAAAGGAACTTAAATTATGGCATATTAATACGATAGTCTTTAAAAAGAGTAGTTATGTATGTGCTGATAGAGAAAATCTCCAGAATGTGTTTTTAAAAATTACAGAATTAGATATATTTGTGTGTATATCTATCTATGGCTATCAGAGCGAATGATCCAATCTGTGTAAAAATATGTGCATGTGTATAGAAAATTCCTGGAGAGTGAGCAAGAATTCGTAATGATGGTAGATCAGGCGAGGAGGAGAGTTTCTGAGTTTCTTTGCTTTCCATTTTTAGCTTTCGTGCATTATATGGTTTGAATATTTTTCAGTGAAATAACTAATTAATAATTAGTTAAAATGACAGTTGAGAAGCACTGTGCCTAAACCTTTGGGATTAGGGAAAGCCACAGGAGTTAAAACAGAAAGGGTGGGAAGAAAAGGAAAACACTTTTTTTCCTCTTTCTTTCCATGAAGGCACAAAGTGCTTTGACCAGTGCCTGGCTTGAAGTAAGCTCTATATAAATGTTAAGTAATTGTTTCATTGTTTTTTCTCCTACCTGTCTCACTACTTCCCCTCAGGCTCTTCGGCAGGCTTCTCACCTTCTAACAGACCTCTAATTTTAGAATTCCTCAAATTTTGGCCAGTGGGGAGGACCTTATCTGTTCTTGTGGCTTTAAATAACATCTGTGTATTGACAGCTTCCTAATTGAAATCCAAGCCTTGACCTAAAGTACTTCAGACTCATTTGTCTACCTGCGGACTTGACATCTCTCTCTCTCTCTCTCTCTCTCTCTCTTTAAAAGTAGGCTCTGCACCCAATGTGGAGTCCAATGTCCACGCCCCGACATCTCTCTTTGAATACATATTTTAAATTTAACATTTCAAAAAACCCCTCTTGATTCCACTCCTTTCCCAAACTTTTCCTGTCTTCTCCATATCAATAAATGGCCCCACCACCAATCCCAAAAGAGGTCAACCTTAATTTATCCTCCTCCTTCCTCTCCCATGTCTGAACCTAAGCAAATTTTGTTGTTGTTGTTGTTTTAAGATTTTATTTATTCATTTGACAGAACGAGAGAGCACAAGCAGGGGGAGCAGCAGAGAGAGAGGGAGAAGCAGGCTCCCTACCAAGCAGGAAGCCCCATGCGGGGCTCAATCCTAGGACCCTGGGATCATGACCTGAGCTGATGGCAGACACTCAACCATCTGAGCCACGCAGGCACCCCCAAATTTTGTTATTTTTACTCAAATACATCTTTTTTTTTTTTAAAGATTTTATTTATTTATTTGACAGAGAGATCACAAGTAGACAGGCAGGCAGAGAGAGAGAGAGAGAGAGAGAGAGAGAGAGGGAAGCAGGCTCCCTGCCGAGGAGAGAGCCCGATGCGGGACTCGATCCCAGGACCCCGAGATCATGACCTGAGCCGAAGGCAGCGGCTTAACCCACTGAGCCACCCAGGCGCCCCTCAAATACATCTTGAATCTGTTTCTCTTCAGTTGTAATGCTTCCTCCCTAGCCCAGGACATCATTATCTTCCTTGGGCCTACTACAGTAGTCTTCAATGTCTCTGTTCCATTTTTGCTCATAACTCTTCACACAGTTACCAAAGAGACTTTATATATATATATATATATATATATATATATATATATATATATATATAATATATATGAATCAGATCATGCCACACACCTGCTCTGTCAATTAAATGCTTCCAATACAAATAACAGAAACCCCAGCTAGTAGAAACTTAAACTATAAGGAAAGTTATTTTTAGCAAATTCAGGATCAGTGTTAACAAAAAAGGATCAGTGTTCTCAGGATTGGTTTAGCAGTTTGTTGATGTCCTCAAGGACTCAAGTTCTTTCTATCCTTTCCACCATCCTAAGTCTGTTGACTTTCATCTTCAGGCTTGTCATGGTTGCAAGATGGCTGCCATAGCTCTGGATATCACAGCAAAACAGGACAACAGCCAAAGCAAGAAGAGAGGAGGCAAACAGCTATATTTACTTGTGGCTCTACTATCAGAAATAAAAATGTTTCTCAGAACCTTCCAGTGATTTCCCCTTATATCTCATTGTCCAGAATTGGCTTAAATAAATTATGATTCACTCCCTGAAGTAAGATGCATTGCCACCCAAGCAAAACTGGACCTCCAGGGGCGCCTGGGTGGCTCAGTGGGTTAAAGCCTCTGCCTTCGGCTCAGGTCATGATCCCAGTGTCCTGGGATCGAGCCCCGCATCAGGCTCTCTGCTCCGCGGGGAGCCTGCTTCCTCCTCTCTCTCTGCCTGCCTCTCTGCCTACTTGTGATCTCTGTCTGTCAAATAAATAAATAAAATTAAAAAAAAAAAAAATATATATATATATATATATATATTCAAGAAGAGAAATTAAAGATATATATATCAATCAAGTAATATACCATGTTATAGAATTGGAAGTCTCATATTGCTGAGATTATGGGGGTAAGTAAATGGAACACATGCTTAACTGCAATCCCAATCAAAATCCCAGGAAGATTATTTTTTGTAGAAATTGATTGGAAAACAAGGGCACCACTGAAATTCAGTGGGAAAGACAGTCTTGTCAATAAGTGGGACTAGAGGGGCGCCTGGGTGGCTCAGTGGGTTAAAACCTCTGCCTTCAGCTCAGGTCATGATCCCAGGGACCTGGGATCAAGCCCCGCATCGGGCTCTCTGCTCGGCAGGGAGCCTGCTTCCGCCTCTCTCTCTGCCTGCCTCTCTGCCTACTTGTGATCTCTGTCTGTCAAATAAATAAATAAAATCTTTAAAAACAAACAAACAAACAAACAAAAAAACCTGGAGCTCCAGTAGCCAGGAAGAAAAGCTTATGGCTATTAGGTAATGGCTATTAGGTAAGCAAACATTGTTTGCTCTAACTTTGAGTTCCTATACTGTCTAATGCCAGCCAACTCTTCAGTGTCATCTCTTAACCTCCTCTGCCCCCTGCCCAGGTCTCTCTTAGTATGCTCACTTGCCTCCTTTCAGTTTCTGAAACAAATCAATTTCCTCCCTGACTCCTGGCCTTCTACATTCTGTTGCTCCCTTCACTGGGATATCTTCTGTCTAGTACTTTAAAAGTCCTGCTAGTGGTCCTGCTTTTCTTGTTAGATCGTAGATTAGATGTCATCCCCTTAGGTTTCTCTGTCCACTGGGTCTAAATTAGGTTCTTATTCCTTCTCCAACCTATAAATTTCTTTCTCACCCCCAATACCTGGATTCCTTCCTAGTATTTATCATACTGTAACTATCTTATGTTCACTTATTATCTTCCCCTCCTAGGATGGAAAGCCCACAAAGGCATAGACTGTCTTTTTGTTCACCCTTGTACCTTGATTGTCTAAAACAGTATCTAGCACACAGTAGGTATTCAATAAATACATACTGAATTGATGAATAAGGAATGAATGAATTAGTGGAAACAAGGATAAAAGGAAATGTGTGGTAATAATGTAAAGACAGAAGACTATCCTGGCCAGCCTGGGCTGCATTTGTACCAAAACCATGAAGAAGGTGGCCCAGGTCATCACTGAGAAGTACTACACTCGCCTGGGCCATGACTTCCACACCAACATGCGCATGTGCAAGGAGCTCACCATCAAGCCCAGCAAGGAGCTCAGCAGGATCACAGGCTCTATCACACACCTGATGAAGCAGATTCAGGGGGGCCCTGGGGACAGGAATCTCCATCAAGCTGCAGGAAGAGGAGAGAGAAAGGAAGGATAATTACACTCCCAAGATCTCAGCCCTGGATCAGGAGATCCCGACACTAAGGAAATGTTGAAACTCTTGGACTTTGGCAGCCCGTCCAACCTGCAGGTCACTCAGGCTGCACTTGGGATGAATTTCAAAACACCACGTGGAGCCATTCAAATCTTTCTGCTGTGCTGTAATATCTTCAATAAACCTCGGACAACAACCTTAAAAAGAAAAAGGTGAAAAAGGAATGGAAAGAGGTATATTTTGGTAGGAGAATAAAGGGTGGATATAATGACATCATCTTAGCCATTGCTGACTATGGGGCCTAAATCCTTTGCTGGAGTTCAGTGGATACTTTTTACAAGTCTTGGAACTCAATCAGACTCTTACACTTTCTTATATTGGACCATAAATATAATT